ATGTTAACAATGATTAGTTACCCAAACGTATTTGCTTAAATGAAGACAGTACTCTCTCTCTCTTTTGCTCGTGGCAGCTTGTGTTTAAAAATATGACCAAAGATCAGAAGTTTTTTCAAAGCTTTGGTACTTTTTCGTTTCCTATCGATCAATAAATAAGCGACTGCTTCGATTTAAAACACGTGGTATTAAAAAGTAAAGTATGGAACATGTTGACGTCCGTACACTCGGTCCTCCTAACCGTGTGCAAACATGATCTTATACCTCGAAACAGAAGATATTTAAAGGAAGAATGTGCGACTTTTTGATCCAGTAGGTGTCGCCCTTGAGCACCAGCATGAAACCAAAACAAACTGCTGTTAGGCCACGCCTCCTCCATACTGAAGCCTCCGCTCTCCTCCAGAGTCACACCTCCAACCCCTCTACACTCGTGCAAAGGAGTCGAGCTAAATGACTCAGAGACACATTTACACAGGATAGACTGGATTTATGATTTATTTATGTGGAACATGTCGCACATTCTTCCTTTAATCACGAACCTCTGTGATTCCAAAACTCGTTGCCACATTTCAAAATAAAATCATTCTTCATGTTGTCAGAAAAACACCTGATGATCAGTGAGTCAGACAAACTCAAGTAATCTCATAACTCACTTAACTCCCATAATCCTTTGCACGGCGTGCATTAGTGGCTTTTCCTCACAGCTGGGGCTTCACACACACGCCACAAAACAACAACAAACTAAACCCGAGGCCGAGCTGGGAACCTGCGAGGGAGCCGTTTCACTTTCAGGTGTTAGAAATATCACTTAACCTGATTTATAATTCTGTGTTGAATCATCGCCGTAGCACACGCTGCCGTGCACCTCTCAAAAATGTAACAAAACAACGCAGATCACAAGCCCTGTGATTGGTCTACACTGCACTGCCAACTAGTGTTTGGAGGGCGGAGTATTGCAGAGTGACACAGACACTCCAACGCACACAGTGTGTAGCGCTCACAACAACTCGTCTTCTTTCAATTGTTTTCTGAGTAGAGAGCGTCTGTAGCAGCTGTCTGGACAAAAAGTGCAGCGCCCAGCGTCTTTCTTCAGAGCGCGCCGCCTTTTTGTGCGGTCACTCCGAGCGCTTCCAGTTGAAAATCTTTAAACTTTTCAGAAAGGTGCTGTCGACGTCACTGCCGCTCTTTTCCAAATGTTTGATATTCCCCGTAGTTTTGCCTCCTGCGGGAAATAAACGATCTCAAATATAAAACATGCAGTAAAAATTAACAGAGCAGTGTCGATCATACAGCGGCCGTTGTTAACAGACTGTTGTCATGGAGACAGGATGGACATGCAGCGCTTCTTTTCCTCAAAGCACAAAACGCTTCATGCATGTGCTCCAGAGCGCTCAGCCTGCCAGGAGACGTTTAGGGTGACCCGATGAGAGCAGTCATCAGGAGTTATAAAGGAAGTGTCTCGAGGAGAGGTGAGGCCGCTGAGCTCTTCCTTCTCTTTTCTGCTTTCTTCTTCGTTGATACTGTGAATACGATCGAGCTCAAGTAGCAGTGATATAAAGTCCAAACATAATCATAATGGTGTTGGACTCGGGTCGAACGTCAGACTGTGAGGATCATGTGTGGACGAGCGATTCGGGCAGATTTCAGGAGCAGAGACTGAGTGATCGTGTGAGAGGAAACGTGAGGCTGAGGTGAAACACAACGCTGCGTTCTGAGATTCTCTCGATGACAAAACAAAACAAAAAAAAAACACTAAACTAACTTTGTTCAGACAAACAGCCGGTTCAGACACCGACTCCTTACATACATATCATTCCAGTGATTGTTGTTGTTTTCATCGTCATCATGGTTTAGGCACCGCTGTGAGATCCTGCAAACTGCTCACTGTATTCAGGTTCAGAGGTGGTGAAGATGTTTACAGAAGCAGCACCAGAGCGTTGCTTTGGTAACGTGTTCTTCAGCAGTGAGTACAGCTGATCTTAAAACACTCTGTGATGTCATCAACACGAGGCATCTTCTGTTCAATGGCAAAGTCGGTTTAAGGCAACTGGCGGTGTGAGAAAGAAACGACGCCTCAGGTGACCACGAAGGGTTAAAATATGTGAGCTGCACAGTGGATCGTTTGAACCAGGGTGTAAATATCTACATGGATAACCTGTTTGCAATTCAGACAGTCAGAACGTTTACATGCACGGTCAAGTCGAGGTAAAGATGAAGCTCGATGAGGTCATCTAATGAAGATTAAAGTATGTCCCACTCCGCTACAGTAGGTGGCGATACGCCCCCTTCCCGTCGACCAATTACGTTCAGACAAAACTGACAAACAAGTTAGCAGGCGGCAGACTGTGTGACGCTGAAAACTTGTGTACTAAGTTGCACGACTCTCTCTCTCTCACTCGCCATGTTGAAACCTTCGTCTTATTTTCTTCTTCTCTTTCTTTTTACACATTTATTCTGCTCGACTTCTGGGTCCAAGTCTGGCGCAGCAGCTGTGGAGCGTGCTCAGAACGTTGCGGACAGTTTGGGCCCGATCTGAGGTGCACACACGCGAGAGTGAAACGACTCCCAAAACACTTTGTTTCGGTGTTTTAGTCCGACTTCAAGTTGTGGACTTAGTATTATTTGAGTTAGACGAAGATGTTTGCATGTTTTTTAAAAGTCAAGTTGAAGTCGGCCGCACACATCGTGTAAACGTCCCGAGTATCCGTCATGTACCCCTAACGAGGTTTAGACCCATTTTAAAATCTAACATCTCAGCCTGAGGCGGACGCTCATTCTGCAGACTCTGTCCTCTGTCCATGTTTTTGGATTCTCTCGTCATGATGAACTGTGTGTTTGCATCTTTATGAACGCTCAAAGGGACTCGTTAGGATTTACTGGCAGCAGATTTTGGTTTAAATTATGAGTAAAGTTTTTTTTAGATTTCTTCAGATTGTACCGTTTGCAAACACGTGGTATTGAAAAGTCTCCAAGTATGGACCATGTTGACATCATTAGCGTGAACACATTATATAATATTCCTCTCTGGTCTGAAGAAGCCGACATGCTGAGTGAATACAAAAGGGATTAAAAAAAACAGTTTGTAGTGTTGATGAGCCTCTTTGGCATCAGTCTCTCTTTTCATCTCACTTATTCCTCAATCGTATAGTCGGGGATTGTTCGGGTCCTCGGGTCCCGCCTTCCCGGCTCCTTTAGATCAACTTTTCATGACCTGAAGGAAGCGTCAGATCTTCTCTGTCTGTTTGTCATTTTCACTTCCTGAGTATTCTGAGGCTAGCCTGTTAGCAAACCAACATGCTAGTTAGATCCAGACTGAGTCGAGTTTGAAGGACTGAGCACGTCCCAGGCCGATCTGGTCCTGATAAGAAGACCTGAGACGTGGTTGCACGTTGGTGAAAGGCCACTTGACCGGGGGAATCAGCTGACGTGGTCGTTTAGTGCACCACGTCGTAGATGTTGTGGTCGATGTCGTACTTCTCGCAGAAGTTGCTCGTGATGGGCAGGCAGGTGAGATGCTCCAGCCAGTGCCAGTTGATGGGATAGATATAAAACCACACGATGAGCGACGAGAACAGCCCGTGTAGGCCAACATGGAGACGCCGATGAGGACCCGTTTGCGGTACTTGTCGAACGTGCCGAAGGTGACGTAGGGCAGGAAGGCGAAGGAGAGCAGCAGGCCGCTGAGGAAGCCGAAGATGTGGGCGATGTTGTCGATCCACGGCAGGAGGCCGCACGTGAAGAGGAAGAGGACGATGCCCAGCAGCTTGAGGAAGGCCTTCCAGGGCTTCTCCAAAATCTGCCAGCCTTGAAACAGCTCGACGAAGAGGCACGCCAGGAGGCCAAACTGAGAGCCGGCCGGACCCACCTGGAGGAGAGGACAGAATCAGACAGGTCAAATAATTCAATGTGAACACAACCAGGAAGTCCGAGTGGTTTCAGTCCTGACCAGAAGCTGAAGGACTCGTTATTCACTCTCTCAAGGGATGAGCCCGTTTAGACGACTAAACTAAATATTTTGGCCCTCGATGCCGGTCAAGTTTAGGTTATGAACTTCCTGACTTGTGAAGTGCTGTATCTGGGAAATTTAACACAGGAAAATATACAAAGCAAAAACAGATACCTTGCTGGAATACTACTGGTGGCATCAAAGAAAGATATAACAAGAAAGTGGTGTAAGGAGGAAATGGAGATCAAGTTGTATGCAGGCTGAGTCAGGTTAAACAGGTGTATCGACCGGAGCGATGTGTAACCACATCACACACGGGCATGTGGAGGTTAACCTGCAGGAAGGCAGCTTGAGTACTGTGTACGTTAGCCTCACTCGGCAAATCAAACGTCATTGTTTACCATCAGAGTGTTTTCTAACCTTTGGACGTTTAACTTGGTCTGAACATCACAAGTAAACGACCACTACATGACTCACGTCTGAGCACTGAACTCATGCACGACGACGAGCATCCGCTCTGATGTGTACCGGACGTGAAGTTGCATACATCCTGCTTTTCTGTGACGCAGAGCTTCAGAGCGCCCGTCATCCTGGTTCACAGCATCATTTATATCTGCTTCAAATGAAGGTCAAAGTTTTATTCCAGACGCAGAGTAAAACAACTTTTTAAAAATAAATCACTCTGAATTTGATTTTCTTGACATGTCCCTACAATCAGATGGTTTTATACAGAATTATACGTTTCAATACATCACTTTATTCTCTCCTCGGGGGAAATGTGTGGTCACAGTAGAAACGTACAAACATGAGTAAACACAGAACACACAAAGTGTTTCAGCTAATCTCAGCCGTCATCACGTCTGTTCATTCATATCGAGTCTGCGACAGTTTAATATTACTACCACCTGACCACCTCCTCCTCTTCCTCCCCTATCACCTCCTCCTCCCTAACCCCTCCCCCTCCTGCTCCAACCTCCTCTTCCTCCCCTATCACCTCCTCCTCCCTAACCCCTCCTGCTCCAACCTCCTCTTCCTCCTCCTCCTCCTCTTCCTCCCCTATCACCTCCTCCTCCCTAACCCCTCCTGCTCCAACCTCCTCTTCCTCCTCCTCCCCTATCACCTCCTCCTCCCTAACCCCTCCCCCTCCTGCTCCAACCTCCTCTTCCTCCTCCTCTTCCTCCCCTATCACCTCCTCCTCCCTAACCCCTCCCCCTCCTGCTCCAACCTCCTCTTCCTCCCCTATCACCTCCTCCTCCCTAACCCCTCCCCCTCCTGCTCCAACCTCCTCTTCCTCCTCCTCTTCCTCCCTATCACCTCCTCCTCCTTCTTCTACTACTCTTCCCTTTACATCTCCTTCCCCCCTAACCCCTCCACCTCATCTTTCCTAACACCTCCTGCTGCTCTTCCTCCGCCTCTTCATCCTCCTCATCCTCCTCCTCCGCTCCCTCCAGCTTAAAGTCTACTGTGCATCAGATTCAGTTCAGAGTCAACACATTATATTTTAAAGGGTTTACTCCTCTTTCCTCGCTCGCTGCCAGGCGTCTTGTTGCACCGGGCTGTGATTGTTAAATTGACCACAGATGCTGTAGATAGCAAGCTGCCAGCGTGGCGTGGTTACACCACAGAGAAACAAAGTGACGCCGTGGCCTACATGTTACGGGCTGACAGCAGGTGTCATTAAGCAGTGAGAAGAACACAACAGCATCTAAGTGGACTAAAGGTTTGGTCACTTTGAGTTCACATCAGAGGATCCTGCAGAGTTCTGCTGACAGTCAGTGGGTCAAATTACTAAAAGTAAGACCGTTTGAATCAGTGCGACCATCAACGCATCGTTTATTACACCTGTTGCCTCTGATGTACAAAAAATGACCAGTTTTATTATTAAAGTTATTCTTGAAACACTTCTGTCTATTGAATTATTACCGTGACAGCGTTTAAGGTAATAATTATTTAAAGTCAGTAGAAATGTTCATGCAGTTTCTAAACACAACATTCAGACTGCCCCCCCCCCCTCCTCCTGGGCTCGGAAGCCCCGCCCCCTGCAGGATGTAGTGTGTATGTTTACTGCTTGTAGCTACACTGCAAGCTAACGCACGCTAGCACAAGCTAAGCGCCGGTGTTTGTCACCTGCCTGTCCAACAGGAAGTAGAACAACTCCACGGCCACGGGTAAAAGACAACACAAGGTTCACCCTCGTTTCAGAACTGCAGACAGAAGGCGAAACGTCGTGCTGCACGTCCATCCTGTCTCCATGACAACAGTCTGTTCTGCATGTTTTTTATTTTAGATCGTTTATTTCCCGATCAGAAACGGAGCGAGGAGGATGAGGGTACAAGAAACATTTGGAAAAGAGCGTCGGTGACGTCGACAGGGTCTTTCTGAAAAGTTGAAAGATTTCAAACTTGAGTGCTCAGAGCGGAAACACTCCAAAAAAAAAGATGCTGCGCTTTTTTTCACCGGGTGGCCGCCTGCTGCTGCTGCTGCTGCAAATGCTCCTTACTTAGCGCTCAGAAAAAAACGCTAGTTGGTCACGGGGCCTAAGTGAGGATTGGGTAACATTACTTTTGTATTCGTCCATATTCATTTTTTCTAAGAATAAGCGACTCCATCTTTAAACAGAGTCACTGTGACTTTGAGAAATAATCCTGACCTATTAAACTCTAACTGTTCCTATGCGGGGTAATGACTCATCAACAACTCTTTTTGGGAGATCTTGATGGGAGATATTTGCTTTGATGATAGTTGTAGGAATGCTTGAGCGCCGGGTCGGGCAGCAGATTAGAGTGACGTCTGCTCTGAGTTTGGAGGCTTGGCCCGGTCAGGGGCAGATGGCTAATCTGTGAAGACATTAAAGTGTCACAACAGACGAGGAGCATGGCACAGCTCTCCACCCACACGCTCCAGACACGTAGGCTGACACGTTCCTGACACGCCGCCTGGTCACTGCCCCGATGGCTTTCACCGTTTTTGAGACAAAGAAGGAATCAGAGCGCAAATCAAAGAAACTCAGTTAAAACTTAAACTCTCTGGAGCTTCTATGGAGCATGTAGAGAACAGATCAGATTTCTGCCTTCATGTCTGATCAATAATCTCTTTTTACAGATTCATTCAAATGAACCTCAGTGACTCCGTACACGGCGGTCTGGATTTCCAGCATGTGAAGTGTTGTTGTTTCTGTTTGAGAAGGGTGCGACTGATATGGTAAAGTTTGGGGCCAATACCTAAACAGATATTAAGGAGATACCGATATATCAGCCGATATCTTTCTGAGATGCGTCTTAGATCTGTATAGACAGATTTAGATATACACACATTTATGACGTTGATGAAAGAGAACTGCTAGTGTAATACAAATATACTCAAAATGTGTGAATAAATCGAGTAATATCGGCGCATATCTGCGATAAAATTAGCCGATAGTCACTTGATATGCTGATATCGGTCGATATTATCGGCTGGCTGATAAATCGGTCGCGCTCTTATTTGTTGTTTGCTTGTAGTCTGAGTTGTGTTGATAAATCACTGTAGGTGTCAGCAGCCATGTGCATGAGAAACAGTCTACACCAATGACCTACCAGCTCCCGTCTGCGTTATCCTAACGATGATTTACTGATCTCTAGAAACAGATATCTGCAGAAACGTGTGGCTAACACTCCATTAAAGATCAAATATTTCAACTTGAGTGGAAATCAGCTTGTGAGCCAAACGCCAACCAGCCTTTAGATTCTTCCTACAGGACTAACCTAGCGGTCCTCAGGGGGACGGGGCCTTCTCCATTGCCGCCCCTAATCTCTGGAACTCACTCCAAAAAAACCATCATATACCCCCCCTCACCCTCCACCTTCCAGAAACCCCTAAACTCTCACCTCTTCAACATTGCCTACAACCACTTAAACTTTGTCCTCCTCCTCCTCCTCTTAGACTCTCTTTCTTCCTTGTTTTCTTTGTTAAGCGTCTTTAAGTATTCAAAAAAACAAAAACATGGCAGTGACAGAACGCTGAGCACACGGATCTTCAAAGTTAACAAAGCAACTCAGGAGGATTTCAGGAGCAGGCTGAAATGTGTGGAAACAGCTAGAGACTGACTTTTTATGGACTTGTACAGAATGTTATTAAAACTTTTTAATCGTATTTAAACAGTTTTTTTTTATCCTGAAATCGTCTACAGGCGGCTCGTTCCAGTCATAGCTGTTGTTTGAGTCATGAACGGCCTCGAAGCCGCAGGGTCTCCTTAACTCCCCAGTTTAAGGATTATCCACTTAAAGCGCCTCCTTAAGTGGCTTGACCGCCGTGTGTGGTGCCTCGCATGTGCTCCCTCTGGTTATTCCGGGTGTGTGAAAAAAAAACCTGTGAGCCGCTCAGTGCCAAGGTGAACGGCATGGTGGGATTTCAGGGCTCTCACGTCAAGGTGCGTCATGCCGAGAGCCACCTCATGTCACACCGAGCAAATACCAGAAGGGAGAGTCTGAGTGTCAGAGACCAGGAACTATAAATGTAACGTGTTGTGTCATTTGTTAAAGAAGTGAGGAAATCTCTCCTGCCTCCATGAATCACTGTGTGTTCATAAACGTGTGCAGACCAGGCGAGCCGAGTCTTTGCAACAATTCTCTTTGTTTATAAGAAAATTAAAAAGTAATCTCTTTGGCACAGCGGTGGCCTTTGTCAAGCCGCACAATGGCATTAGGCTAATCTCCTGAAGGGGAAAGTGTGCTACACAGAGACACGCTGACGACAACAAGACAGGCCTGGAAAAAGTAGGTAATCCACACGGTGTTATTTTCACACTCAACATGTTGTCCTGTGCTGCACTTGTTACACCGTGAATTAGAAGATTACTACCCCAAAAAGACGGACATTGGTTTTAAAGTCCACTTTGACGTTCTCATAAACTCACAAAAAGAAGGCAGGATATGTCCCCGTTTGACATATTAGATCATTTCTGCTCAAAGCTTTTCAACAAGCAACAATGGACCTCACCTAAAATAGCGCTCAGCTGCAGTTGACTCAGCAGCGACTCAGACACACACTTTTTAATCTTGTGGACCGATTGGCTGGATTTAGCTTTCCGTAAGCACATCCGCCAGGAAGCCTCCGAGTGGATTAGTTATGGTGACGACGTCCAGAATCAAACGTACGATGCAGGTGTGAAGGTCTGCAGAGATCACTGTCATACATTTACTCTACCGAGGCAGACGATCTCACTCTCACTGTCGAGCCTGTTTACTAAGTTCCTCTTACTGAAATCATCTTTTTGAGGCAGTTCAAGGTGAAAACTCTACGCCTCTGTAACATCTCGCCTCGGTGTGATGGAGCCACCAAGTTGTCCCACTGCGGTGTCTGGTAGTGATGAAGGTGTTTTCAGGGTGAGATGGGATCACCGTGCAACACTGAAGCTGGCCGGGTGGAGCAGCGCTGTGTGTGCGTGTCTGTGTGTGTGTGTGTGTGTGTGTGTGTGTGTGTGTGTGTGTGTGTGTGTGTGTGTGTGTGTGTGTGTGTGTGTGTGTAGCTCCCGCTGTGCTTCTGCAAGGCAATGACAACTTAGAAACAACAATGACTTTGATCATTTTGAACCCTCTTTAGTCACTGTTGTCTCTCCTTCCCCTCTGCTCAGCCACTTCGACCATCTCTGAAAAAAAGCATGAGTCAGGCCCCCGGCTCGGTGTCGGAGAGCGTGGGCGGAGCCTACGATGGACGCTCCTCAGCCAGAGACAGGAGGGCCAAGTTCGGCAGACAGACGTCGCTCTCACAAAGCATCCGCAGGTAAAGAAGAAGAGCTTGTTGTTTCAGGCAGCTCAACATTTACTCTGTGAGTCAAACACACAATATTTAATTTATAGACCAACAATGGACTCATAAATAGTCATTAAAGTGTTCAGGAAGTGCTGATCCCCACATGATTCATCCAAATGCTTCCTCTCCAGGGTCCCTCTAATCAGTGTGTGGAGTTCCTGCTGCTGCCACTCGTTAGTGTTGTAGCACTCGAAATCGGTACGTCGCCTGACCCGTATTTTACTATGTTGCTAACGGCATGCTAACGGTCGTGTAGGAAGGCAGTATATATACAGTGTATGTGTTTTGCGCTGGCAGCGGCCATTTTTCTTTGCAAACCAACACGCTTCAGTGTTTTCAGCGTTCACTTTCCAGCACAAAAAACAGTCAATGGACGCTGCGCTCACGGCTGGGGATAGTTGAACTATTGGGACACAGCCACGCTTCGTCAGTGTCCCTTCTCCCTCACTGACCAATCAGAATTCACGGCGATGGTGGAGGACAAACTCATCTGATTTGTCTTTTCAGGGGTTTAATATTTGATCTCAAACTGCTGCTAACACAAAACACACAAGCTTTCCATTGTTTATGTTTTCTTTAGATTTAAGTCAATATTGATCACACAGACCGCCTCAACATGGACTCTGACAGTCATAACTGAGGGACGCCAAAGTGCCAAAGTTTAGTCACCTAGCAACAGGAAGTGCTGGTGTGCGTTGAGGTCATTGGCACTGCCAGTTTATGAAACCCTGAACTACATGTTCCATGTAACTGAAGCTCAGTTTGTCCCTGAGGTGTTTCCTGTTGCCTCTTTGGAAGCGGGCAGTCACGTCTGCACTCTTTAATCCCCATTGTGAGAAACACCCTCCCTTAAGTCCGACACAGATAAGCTGAGGTAAGCCACCGAGTGGGAAAAACAGCAAAACAATCTGAAATCACAGCGGAGGTGTGGTAATTGTTTACGTGCTTTACTGTTGCATCGATGTGTTTAAATAAATCAAACTACTTGACGAGGAGCGGACACAGATATCTCTGTCTTACATTTGAGGCCACATCTCATCAGTGTTTTAAAACCGTTAACTCCTCAGACAGACGGGCGCAGAGACCTGACACGTGAGTGTTTAAGTGATTTTGCATGAATGTGTTGGTGTGTGCGATTAATCAGCCTTCTTTGAAAGAGAAGTTTTCCCCTCCCCTTCTACTTCCTCCAGGTCCTTATCAGGTGTGAGCAACGGGACGCCACAGCACAATCACATGCTCTGTGTGCCGATTACATTCAAGGCGATATTTTAGAAAACTAAAAAATGACTGTCTGAGTGTTTATGTTTAATTTTTTACAAGCTGTGCTGGAGAAAGTTTACTGTGGGACCTTCAAATCCTTCCTATAGGATCATATGGCTTTGTGTATGAGTAGGTGCAAACATTTACTTCAATCAAAGTAACATTTTTATTATTGAACCTTTTTTATGTCTTTAATTCTTTAAGGTTCTTTTGCTGTTATTTGATTGGACGGCTTAAGAGAGATAGGAAGTGTTTGGGAGAGAGTGAGAGAGAGAGACCGCATAATGCATCCATTAATCATCTATACCACTTTTTCCCGTTCAGGGTTGCTGGGGCTGAAGCCGATCCCAGCTGTCATTGGGTGAGAGGCGGGGTTACACCCTGGACTGTTCACCAGCCAATCACAGGGCTGACAACCAGCCACACTCACATTCACACCTACAGGGAATTTAGTCAGCAGTTAAGCTAACGAGCATGTCTTTGGACTGTGGGAGGAACATGAAGCACTCACCTCCGCTCTGTAGGGCAGGAAGAGGGCGGAGGCCAGGTTTCCTGTGATGCCACTGAGGACATAAATGATGGAGATGCGGACCCAACCGGCCAGCTTCTCCAGGTCCCTCAGTATGGTCATCTGGAACACCACGGACACCACGCAGTGCAGCAGCCTGCGGACACACAAAACCACAGTTACTTTGACCAGCTGTCCCAGATAAAGTCTGAGGGCACACACACGATGTACTTTGTCGACTGATTAGACTCATCATGGGGGGAAATTGGATTTTAAATAGCCGACAGATCACCACTAACAATGCCTGTCTTGTCTTGTAAATTCTTATTTATTAAGATCTAATGTTAAAGCGCCAAAGTCTTGCTAAAAAAGGTTGTTGATGAACATCCATCCTCATTTTTTTAATTAGCAAACTGAACCGTGTCACAAACACACATCTGAGATTTAAAAACCAGCTGGTGTTGTAGTCAAAGCATTTTGTCAAACGTGCATTTTTTTCCCCATCAGGCTCCCCTGGTCTGTTTGTGAGCTTTAAAGTAGACCTGAGGGATTTCCCATGTGCCTTGTATTAGCGCCGAGTATTTGGTGCTCATGCGAGCATGAAAAGCTCACGAGTGTCAAGTCTTAAGAAACGTTTTCTTTTCGGTTTGAATCCTGAAGGATGCTGACATAATGAAACCACAACATTCAGAGCTGATGGAAACAGCTCACTGACTCGCTGTAATAGGCTTAACACCGTCACAGCACATTAAACGGTTAGAGTTACTTTGGTTAGGTTACATGTACTGCAGACCTGAACGGCTGACTCAGCTAAAACCAGCTGGTATGTGATGTCATAACTGTGATGTAATGCAACAAGATAACTAAAATAAACACAATTAAAGGAGCAATCTGCACAAAGTGACCTTACTATATAATCAGACATTAAGGAAACATGCTATGTTGAAGTGCTGGCTTCTCTGACAACAATGCAGCAGCCAGTATGTCCTCCTTCTAACTTTAGATTCTGCTCCTGAATGCTCTGGATTTGTTTGGACCAGAGCAGGTAGGCGGTTTTAAGGCGACCCCCCCACACGGCCGTTTTGGACGCCCCTCGGTTTGCCAGATATGAGAGCAGTTATCAGGTCAACAGGTGTTGCAGTGATGGAAGCGGGCAAGAGAAGTGGTTCAGATAGAAGTGATTGTACCCGACCTAAAAAGCCTCTGCATGTTTCTAATAAGCTCCACGAGCAGAAACGTGCTCAAACTAGGATCAATATTGGAGATGCTTTTGAAAAATGGAGAGAGGTTAGAACACAGAAAGGTTTACAGACCCATGCAGAGCTGGATAAACACTGAAGCTTCAGAGTCCACCACATGGTGACCTGAGTGAGCATCCACTCTAGAGAGGAGGGGGGGGGGAGACAGCTCTCTATGATGTTTAGAATATAGACTGCAGTACCCATTTTAAACACTAGGTGACAGAGTTACATAATGCTCCTTTAAATTATTAAAGAGTTTGAAATAAAGTTTTTGTTTCAGGATGTCTGTGAGAGTTCTTGTTCTTCTTACCCAGCATGGAGGAAGAGAGAGAGCCACAGTCGGTAGAACTGATCAGGCACATCGGGGTTGAGGAAGGGGAGTAAGCCGCACACATCGTCCAGACAGTGAACCTGCGTCAGAGCAGTGCATTTGATCAGATATGTAAACACACTCACACTGACACATGCACACACACTCACACTTAGCACAGGCACACACACTACCTGTGAGCAGAGTGTGGCGTCCTCGTGGAAGTAACCATGCATGAAAGAGCAATACTCTCTGGTGGTGATCTCACATCTACAGGAAGAACAAGCACAAAGCATTTCAGATTCTCCCAATCTGAATGATGAGCGGTGAAATGGTAGGTACGTCGAGCATGATTGAAAAAGTGGGACAGATGATAAATGTGATAACTGCACGACTTGACAGGACTAAAGAGGGCCAGAGTCTGCTCTACTCTGAAGCTGTGAGACTGCTGATCAAAACCCCTGAACACCGCTTTAGGATGGCCATGCACTTTTTTGCCCCTGAAATCCGGAGGCTGAAGGAGAAACTCCAGGTGAAGTCTGATTGATGAAATGTGGCCTTTTTTTTTTTCTCTGATATTTCTTTTTAATTCATTTTGAACGCACACTTTATATCTCTCCCACGCTGTATTTAGTTCTTGATGTTTATATTTAAAAAGCTGAGGACTGCAAAAGAGACCTAATCATTTTTCTGTGACAATGCTCTGTTATATTGTTGCTGTCCAAAGTCTAAAATAAAGATTAAAAAAAAAATATAAGAAATGTGATCGTTTGCATTCACACATGCAGCTCAGCCTGAAAGCTGCAGGAACTTTCCAGGAATGTCATTGGCACGTGTATTAAAGCTGTTAACACAGACTTTCTGCTGCTCTTTTAAACCTGCTTTACAAACGTTTGAATGCTGCTATCCGTTTAACATGCTGCTCGGAAATGTGCAATATACTCACTCCAGATTTAAAACACATGTTTATATTTATTCTATATATTATTTTTGACAATAAAGCCTCATTGAATCCTTAAAGAAACAGAACAGGAAGTGAATCAGCTTGTTGGGTCTCACCTGCCCTTGGTTCCGATGCAGCACGGCCGGCCCTTGATGTTGCAGTCCATGTGTCTGTAGCCCGTGTGGTTCCACTTCTTAGGAAACGTGCAAACCTGAGGAGGGACGAGCAGTCAGCCGTCACACAAACAAAGACATGGTGTTATCTTTGAACTTCCTGTGGTTTACAACCTGGCAGCTAAACTGTTTAAATGTCAGTACCACTCACCGGCCACTGGGTGATGTCATCGGGCCACGTATGAGGCTCTGCAGAGGCGGGCTCCTCACACACTCTGCTCGTCAGGAGGAGAAGATTTAAAGAGTTTAATCAAAATCACAAGAAACGTTTTTGATGTTATTTTGAGGAAATGAATTCTCACCTGGGATCCTGGTGACACACAGAACCAGACGACCTGATGATGTCAGTGTCCTCATCGCTCCATTTGATAAAGGTGGCCAGAGTCTCCTGCACATTAAACGGGTTCAGTGATAAATAGTTCAGCTTGTTTAAGGTAAGACTGTGCAGGGTCTCTTACCGAGCAGTCGGAGCTGTGGGTCTGCACGCAGCCTGAGTTATCGTTCTGGACGCAGCAGCCCGACTCTCTCTCCAGGTTTTTGGCCCTCTGGATCAGGTTGACGATCTGTCGGTCCTGACGGATGCAGGGCGAGAACTTTGCTCCCAGGTGGATCAGATCATCCTGAAAAGATTTGAGGTTAGGAATGTGTCATCTAAAGCAGCCGCTCTCAACTATATCTTTCATCCAATGAGATTTGTTTAAAGAAAAAAGTTCAAGGCACCAGCGACCTTCAGGTTCCCCACTCAACTCCCCTACAAACTGAGCTACTGCAGCCCCAAATTTCACACACCCAGTATTCCCATATTCTTGTTTTAATTTCTACTCATGTG